AAAAAGGAAAAAAGAAACAAAATATACAAGCAAACCTTTATCATCTTAATAATGATAACAAGATAAAGAGAAAGTAATCTTGAATTTACGAACAGGGACAAAAGAAAAAAAAAACAATCATTAAAAAAGAGAAACATAAAGTCAATTGGTGGATAGACCGACCATAACGATTACAAAGAACTAGATAAGGATTATGAGACGGCAATTCGTGACACCTAGTGACATTCGCTAAGGGAAAAAGCTTTGTTTGGAGGGGGAGGGATCAGAATGTACACCATGAAATCCAATGTGGTCGTTCTGGGATTGAAGAAAAGAATAGAATGAAAGAGAGGAAATTTCGAGTGCCAGTACTTCTTATCGATGCAAAACACTGCGTGGAGGGTCGCAGCAATTAACAGATAACAAGGTTTCCTCCCTCATCACCCCTCCAATTAGTAACACCCTAGACCCACCCTCTCTTTTCTCTCTCTCTCTCTCTCTATCTCTCTTTCATCCCTCTCTCTGCTCCTGGCAGAACCAAAACGTACATCCCCGAGGCCGTCTCCACCCTCCATGTAGACCCTCCTCCTCTCTCTCTCTCTCTCTCTCTCTTTCTCTCGTCTCTTTCTTCTTCTGTTTGCATATCGAGTGACTCTACTAGTCCATTGGGAATTTCTATGAGATATTGCAAGGTGCTGCTATAATCATAGAAGAACAGACGCGTTATGTTAGAAATTTATAATACACTAGAGTGACATCATCAAAAATCATCTCTCCTATGAATTTCTTTGAAGAAGGAAAAAAACAACAAAAAAAAATAAATAAATAAATAAAAGATTTTCTTTAAAAAAAAAAAAAAGAAATAATTTCATTCAATGTGTCTGGTGTCAATGAAGAATGGAGAAAAAAAAAAGAAACGAGAAAACAGAGAAAAGCTTGGAAAATTTTCTATATGAAATGCAACATCCACGAATAAAGGTCGTGAATGAAAGATAAAGAGAAAAAAGGAAAAAAGGGCTAGGTCTATCCTGGTCGTCGGACGAAAGACGAAATTATTTCGAATTCAGTAAGCTCGAATAGCAGGGCACGTCCGATTGATTATTATCGAATCGGACAAACGAGGGTGCTTGATCGAAACTATTGAACCATTTTGAATTACGATATCCTACAGTTCTCCCGTCACTATGTTTACACCTAATTACACCAATCCCGTAGAAATTAGATCGGTCACCTAGCTAATTATACCCTGCTATATATTATAAAATTTTTTACTTGAAAAAGTTACATATATCGTGAAAATTAAATTAGAATTATTCATTCTTATCCTGAACGAGTTTGCAACGATCAATGCAATTTATTTATCGTTGATATTTATTGTAAACAGACAGACGATACAGGCATTGATAAAAAATTACAAATTTTATGAGTAGATTTTATGGTAGATATTCTGTTTGCAAAAAAAAAAAAAAAAAAAAAAAAAGAACAGAAAAGGAAATAAAAAAACGTGACATCGTATAAATTGTCAGATAAGAGATAAATATACAATTTCAATAAAGTACATAGAATATGTAACATACCGTTATCTGTCTTTTAATAATAACATTAATCTATCGGTTTTTTATTTTCTAAGTTAAAAGAAAAAAAAAATAAAATAAAATAAAATAAAATAAAATAAAATAAAATAAAATAAAATAAAATAAAAAACAACGCGTATATTTTTCTTCGCATATCATTGATTTCTGTTCGCTTATACACTTGACGTGAAACGAACCAAACATAAAAACTGGTAGACGATAATAATAAAAAAAAAAAAAAAAAAAAAAAAAAAAAAAAAAAAAAAAAAAAAAGAAAAAAAAGAAAGTGAAAGAAGATAAAAAATAGAAGAGTTTCGCATTATCGAAGGTGTTCAATGTTGTTAGCTAGTAATACAAGTTATGACTATTCTACGAATTTTTTCGAAATAATTTCGATCTAGACCATTTTCAAATAGGAAAATCGCTTGAATAGGATAGAGAAGGTAGAGAGAGAAAGAGAGAGGGAGAGAGAGAGAGAGAGAAAAAAAGTGATCCAGGACAGGTCGGTGCGTATGAGGTCGTTAGTAGAGTTTCCAGCGGTGCATATCAATGAGGTCTATGAAAGGGGAGCGAAAATCTCATGGGAATAAGGACACCCGTTATACGAAGGAACGAAAGAAGGTAACCGTATCTCGCGAGATACGTTACGTTCGAGAGGGTTGGTTGGTTAGAACGCAACAAGAATTTTTCAGAATCTAACTGACTCATGGGTGCTTAACGATAATCTGACTCCGTTACTAAAAGACGATTTTTCGGGATTCGTTTCGTGCCTTGAATAAAATGTCTATCATGATCTATCTAGGATATATCCCTCTTACTAATCTCTTACGTGTCGCATATTACTCGTGGAAAAATTTTCTCGAGTATCACCTCGATTATCATTGAACACCTAATTTCGTCTTATACGTAGACCGCCCCCTCCCCCCGTCCATTGATTAAAATTCTCTATATTGATATATATACAAAATTATATTATTATATTTCACTTATAATTACCAAATCGCATTAATTAGTAGAAAATTAATTAGTAGGAAAAGATTTGTCTACGCTTGTCGTAAAAAAAAAAAAAGAAAAAAAAAGAAGAAAAGAAGAAAAAAAAAAGAAAGAAAGAAAAAACAATCCGTAAAATTGTGAATAAATCAAGAAATAAAAAAATAACAAAACAAAAAAAGAGAAAGAAAAAAAATAAAAATAAAAAAAAAATAAATTAATTCAAATTCGTTCTAATAAAAATATCGATTTTCAATATATATATATATATATCGTTAATAGAAATTTATAGATCTATTATGAACTATCGAGACTCCTAGACTCCTATTTCTCGAACTTATTATATTCATCTTTTCTTACGCTTTTTTCTCGATCATTCAACAGAAAAATTCAAGCCGAAGGATCGAAGGGTAGTGGACTCAGCTTATGCGAATGTATTCGTGCGTAGGTATGTGTGTCTGTGTGTGTGCGTTCGGGTCACAAAGTTGGTCTTGTTAGGCCGCGGCGAAAGGGGATTCTGATCAACGAAGCGTGCGAGCCCTAAGGGCTCTTCCTCTACCAGACACGCTTCGTTTCTCAATTGATTCTTTATTTTACAATCGCTCGTGGCCTTCTTTCCGGAGGACCGCGGAACACGTCGAGCGGGATAAGGACGTTAGATGCTTATCGTACCACCCTTCTTCCTTTTCGATGTATATTTTTTCTTTTCTTTTCTTTTTTATTATCATTTTCCTTTTTCAACGAATATTTAAACTTCGTTCTCTTTCGTTCCATGTAAAAACGTAAAAATTCTATTCAATCATCTATTGTAAACAATGTTCCATAGATCAAAGTTAAAAGAAAATGCAATTAATTTTTTAAAATAAAATAAAATAAAATAAAATAAAATAAAATAAAATAAAATAAAAAAAAAGAGAGAGAGAAAAAAAAGAAAATCTCCATTTATGGAAAACAAATCGAAATAATTATAAATAATTATTGTCATAAACGTGATTTAAATTGAACTAATAAAATGATCGATTAAAATATGTACTTTGCAAATAACAAAAAAATTTTTAGTAGAAATGAAAAATTGTTTCTTTCTTTAATCCCCTAATAAATTAATTATCCCAATTCTAATATACAATTCTAATATATAATCCCAATATATAATCAAAACGTATAATCATTGCAGAGAGTCGAACCTCTACCCAGTCTTCCAGTTCCGGACTTGGAAACAACCATGCAAAAATATCTAGCACAAGTTGAAGTAATAACACCGAATCATTTGGAGAAGACACGAAGTTTGGTTAGAGGATTTTTATCTGGATCTGGACCAAAATTGCAACAATATCTTTTGGAACGTAGACACAAGATGAATAATTGGGTAAGTTTGCATTTAAACAATTATAATACGAATATTGTTATTATACGTTAACTACATATGACAATATATATTGTCATTGTTCTTTTTCTTTTTCCGTCTTTTTTTTTTTTTTCAAAAAAAAAAAAAAAAAATAAACGAAAGATAAAAAGTCGTTTCACTGATATCTTCTTCTTGTCTGATTAAATATTCTCATGGAACAAGAAAGAAGTAAGGGATTTAGATATGTCATAAAAGAGAAAGAGAGAGAGAGAGAGAGAGAGAGAGGGAGAGAAAGGGACAAAGAGATACTGATAAAAAAAGACAAGAATGGCGAATCTTTTTCTTTGACTAAGTGGCACAACAGCACTTTCGTTTTAAGCCACCATGCCTCGAGAGAATTTACCTTCCGTAACGGTTGGTCCTACGCCATTGTAAGCATCCCTTTTCTCTCTCTCTCTCTCTTTCTCTCTTTCTCTCTC